AAATGTGTCCTGTCCCTGTGTCCCTTTCCAGGTTTGCTTAAATGTATAACTGTGAGCCTGTCAAATCATGGGTAAATGGTGAGTAATGGGAGCAAATTTAGCAAATCCATCAGTTTCCCCAACTCAGAAACACGTACAGTTTCCACTGCAGTGACCTAGTAATGGAGTTGCAAACATGCACAACCACCAGGGTAAAATAATTTACAACAGAATAGCCCATGCTGTTCCTCCCCAGCTCCATTCCTAATGCTCCCCTGGATCAAGCCCCAACAGCTCTCACACTGCTATAGCAGGTCTCATGATATTTAATGTTCTCCTTAAAATCCTCATTACATGCTTATTGATCAGCATCTGCACTTCCCATTAGCTTCTAAACCTTGTGCTTTCTGTGCATGGTTTGAAATCACAAAGCAGACATGTGGACACAAGCAAGTAAATAAAGAGAACACCTACACTTTGTTCATATTTTTTTCCATTGTGCCCATGGCAACCCTCTGGTGCTGGTTCTCGGGTCATGGTTTTGAAGTGCCTGGAGTAGGCAATGGATTGCCCAGGAAAGAACTTGCAGCTCGATTCCACAGTAAGCGACGTCAATGTACATTGCACTGTCAGTTTTGCTGGGAGGAGAATCGGATCTGCTTTCCAGGTCACCTCCCATGGCAACAGTTATGTGATTTTTGAAAAGGTAAGACACTTCAGACAAAAAAAAAAGAGTGACCTCTCGCCGTGCATTTACATTTGAAACAAATCTCAGCTGCCTGCTTCCATTAGCTCAGGTTTCATTCAGGCCACAAACCTGAGGGATGGTACCTTCCCTCTCAATTTAATTTTAAATAGGAAGAAGGAGCCTTTTGCAGCATCACAAAACAAAGTGAGAGGGGAAAAAAAATAACCACTAAAATACAGTCTGATACCTGAAAAGGAAATTGAACTTTCCAAGACTTGTTTCAAAGTTTTAGAAAGCAGGTATTCTTTATTGCAGCGCTGGGTGCACGGGGGATTTCTCCTCCTAGTGTGCACACCGGCTTCTGGACAGAAAATTAGTTATACACTATAATCATGCATAATTCATAACATATTTACATATTCTTAAACAATTGGTTAATTTTCTCTCGCTTTTCATGTAAATTACTTCGCATGCTCAGTTTTCCTCCTCCGCCCCTTTCTTTTGGGTCTGGGGTGTAATTAGGGTAGGTGGTCCGTGAGTCGGTGGTCGCGATCTCCCCCTGCCGGAATTACCTTTTCCCCCAAGTCACTGCATGTTCACAGTTTAGAAAAACATGATAACAAAGTTTATGCAGTTTCTGCAGTTTCTGGGATGTTCCCTCCAAGGGCAGACAGTTCTTGATAAAGAGTCTCTGTTTTAATCACTGCTGGCAGCTTCAAGGATGGACGTCTTGTTAGTTTCTTTAGGTATGTGTAAATCACCTACTGCCGACTGAACCCTTCATGAAACTGCTACACAAAACTTTAACCCCTTTATTGTTGGGTAACAGTCCTTCTTGGAAACCTTTTAAAATGAACTGCATTTTAAAATATTTTGACAGGCTGAAATTGGCTTATGTGTGTTTCACACATCCTCAAATACTAACCAAATCATGAAGATTAGTTGCCTGCTTCAGATTTCTTCATGATTTAGGAAAATACTGAAGTTTTTTTTTAAAAAAAGGTACATATCTTCATTTGGTACAGGAGAGTCCCATTCTACTGAAGCCAGTGAACTCCCTGTAATGTCACCTGAAACCCTGGCCCTATAATGATGTTCATCCTAGTAGGATAGGATCTACCTCATGAGAAAAAAAGGAACAGATAAGAATACTGAAGTGTTTATTCTTACAAAGCTTCATGTTGAACTTCAATTCTTCTTAGTTATCTTTCCTACTATGCATCTCTATTCTAGACCCTGTGCATTAAGACCATTCCTTGTAGCCTTGATGGGCCAACGTCAGATATGAGGCACAAAGGAGGGTAAGGTTTTTTATATACTATATATTTTATACACTATATTTAGCAAATATTATATATTTTTTTAAGAATAGCTCAGGGATTGCAAGAAAGCATAAGTAACACAAAGAAATGTTCTCCTCTCAGCTTATACAGTTTTGCCATTTCTGTGTTCTTACCATTTCTGTGTAAGAACATGCTCCTTTTATATCATAGCCTCATATATTTGTATTTTGTCATCTTTGTGGCTTTTGCATTTATGTCTATAAATCTAATCAGCTTTGCCACTCATAAGGTAGTCACAGTGATCAGGCTAAAGGCTGTGATTTAAACTGGACTTAGGTGTCAAAAAATCCTCTCGCTAACAAAAAACTTCCTTATCCTCAGTAACTACACTGTACAAATCAGCAAGGTCTTAAGCCACCAGCTTATGATACAGAATATGCTTGATTTTCCATCTTTTGAGTTTCTGAATCACTTTGATAAGTTTTATACAATTTTTCCAAAGTCCTCAGAAGACAACGAAAATAATCCTACCATGAATGAGATACTATTTATTTTTTCTTTTAGTAATAATACCTGCAAGTATCAATAAAAAGCTCCCAACTCTCTCATGTCACTTCCCAATTGTCATAAAAAAAATTAACCATTCCATTCAATGGATCCTTGTTCAGTCTGTGATGCTTACAGCACACACTGAATGCAAAAAAAAATAAATAATCTTATATCTAAGCATTTTGTTTTCAAGTGCTATAAAGACCTGGAAAAGCCATCAACATACTGCACACCTGCAGTAGCTCTTTTTTAGCACATTTTGGAGTACAAAAATCCCAAAACCTGATGAATACTGCAGAGGTAATATGTCCATAGAGATATATAAACGTCAGGCAACCTGCTACTATTATTTGCTTTTACTCACATTGATTTCCAGTGAACATTTTTTAATTAAAACTCTGCAAGCCAACTTCTTCAGTATTCCCTTTATATGCACTAGTGAAAGAAAAGCGTAGTGAGCACTGCAAGACTTTGAGAAAAGAATTTTAAAAGAATTTTTTTAAACACTGTCATGAAAAGTTCCCATGTGCACAGCTCAATAACTACCTGCATTCAGGCTGCCGCAGCCGCCCAGAACACCCTGCTGACAGCACCAACACCGCTCAGAGGAGCTGAGGCCACCTTTGGCATTCTGGGTTTTGTGTTTTTGTTTGCCTCTTGTTCCTTGATGAACTCATGAATTTTAACAATTGTACCAGAAACTCTTGCATGAACTATATCACTATAGCAGAGAAATCTGCTCTTCTGCCATCCAGCTGATTTACACGGAAGACCTGACTCAAAACAAGAACTCTTCCATAAGCAAATCGCCCCAGGAGAAACTGACCCATTTGCTGGTTTAATTCGACAGTTAGCGGCACAGTAACACACAGGTATCCTGACAGAAGCCAGCAGGCTTGAAAGACACCTTCGACATACTTTTTTTCTAATTCCTTAAACACATATCTTTTTTTTCCCCTCTCTTCAAATATTATTTTCCTGTCCCACCTCTAAATAATATAAAAGAGGCTAAACGAAAGAATGGAGAAAAAACAGTCCTAACCTCTTTCTCCCTGAGAAGACTAGTTACTGAAATACTGGAATTCATAAAATTCACAAAAATGGAAATGAAACATGGAAGGAGAAGGCATGTCATTTTGCTCTGCACAGACCAAATCAAAACCACTCTGTCAAAACAAGGCAAGGTATTGTTCATAACGGAGTCTATTTTTGGACGGCCAAAGTCGGTGCTTTTATATTATTCAACACTGCTAACTCCTGAGAGCTCCCTTTGGGCAAAGCAGCAGTTTCCCAGGGGAAGCTGCCAGGCTGAGTTAACCATCATCAGTTGAGCAGACGTTTGAGGAAGGGAAGAGTACCAGAGACTGCACCACTGCAAACAGCATGAGCTTGTAATTCAGGTAGAAAATGTGGCTTTGGATCCACAGCCTGACTCTACACCAAGGGCTGCGGGAGCACTTCTCGGGCCAAAGTGACTGTAAAGACCCACCGCAACTCCAGAGTGGGAGAAGAGCCATGGATGCACTTGGTCCTGTCCTGGTGGCCTGGAGGCACCAAAGCAAGGATGTACAGCAAGAAGGAGCTGTGCTGGGTCCCCCAGTCTGAGTGAGAGAAGGATCACATCTAGATGTGAACCCACAGGCCAGTTTATGCTTTAGAGGACCTTTTATTGAACGTAGGAATAAATGCAGAAAGGGTCACTGCTTAGTGACGTCATTCTTAAAAGTGATGGGCCAGCTTGCAGGGACAAAGGCTGCACTCTGACTGCTTTTTCCTTTTTTTTTTTTTTCAATAATTAAAATAATTTTCAGTTAAAACACTTAAATCGAGCAGTGCATAAGCTGGTTGCAGGAAAAGTTTTGTCTGGACAGGAGGAGAATGCTGAACACTGTTTTACTGCAGCTCTGAAGCACACTGACTCTTTCCAACAAATCTATTCCTATGACTTAATTTGCTATTGAATCTGCAAGCATGGAATTTTAGAATAAAGATTTTGCTTTGGGGAGAACGGAAAGCATCTAATGATGAAAACTGTCATCTGGGACATGAGGGAATTCATATTATAGACTGATAGATAATTACAAATGGTAAATGAAGTACTTTCAGGAAGCTTTGTTCATGACAGAAGCAGCACTGAGGGGCCTGTAGGTCAGCATTGGCACAGATTTTCCTGAAAAAGAGGGAAGTATTATATATGTTCATACACTTAGTCAATCTCCTTCCAGTGGCTTGACTCTTTCTAGTTGCCATTTTTAGCTCTTAAAAATAAATAATTTCAAAAAATGGGATATGTTAGGAAATATTTATCAGATATGTGCTACTCCTTCATAAAGCCTTTTGTAAAAATGTTTTAAACTATGCTTTTCACTTGTGTTTGACCATACAAGGCAACCAAAGCATCCTTCTGTTTACCATAGAGCAGCAGTGAGCTTACTGATCAAGACGCTTCATGCACCAGTGTTGAAAAGAATAAGATGAGAGAATTATCATTGAACTCTTACCAAAGCAGGAATTGACAAAGCCGTACCACCGACAACCATGCTCCCCTCCAATCCATTTGCAGTGGATGTTAGATGCAAAACTGAGGGTAGTGCCTGAGACGCACACTAACATGTCGCTGATACTGATGTTCAGGAGGAGCATGTTGACTGGGTTACGGAGGGTTTTGAACTTGCAGAAGAGGATGAGGACAATCAAGTTATTCAAGAAACCAAAAAACAAGATAAATCCAAGAAAAACAGCCACTATTGTGTGCCCATTTCGTGAGAGTCCAGCCCTTGGCTCAATGGGATCTGTAGCTGCACCAAAGCTCAGGTTGTATGTCCAAGTACGGTTCATTTCGGACTTTGACACAGATCGGTGGGGGCAGAGAGGTCAGGTGCCCTGCGCTGAAGTCCTCCAGCAGTTTCCCAGAAGCATATCTCCATCACAGATCAAATCATCTCAGGAGTTTTGAGATCTTCACTCAGCTGAGATAGCTCTTCAATGGTTAGGCAGATGTGAAATACTGCATCGCAGCACAGAAGTATTTTCCTGCACTATGTCTTGCCAGTGGTCAGCTCTGCAGCTAACTCCAGGGCAGCAGAAGCAAGCAAATAATCACCTCAAATTCATCTTTGTTATTTAAACCCAGGATCATGTTAGAAGATTTTTTTTTGAGGCTCAGAATGGAAGGTATCTTAAAAAGGTGCTTTAGCATGGTCTCTTCCTTCAGAGCAAACGGGCAGTCCTTCTATCAATGGGCAGCTACTGTTGTTCCCTCTGACAACAGGTGTCTTCTGAAAATAGAGAAGAAAACAAATGGCAAAACCAAAACAATTTTTCCATACCAAGACCAAAAAGTAGGCACATAATTTACTAACAGTTCCTCCTTTTTGAACCATAACAAATATTTTTCATTCTTTTCAGTTTTCTCTCCGATTTTCAACAGGAAAATCAGTTTGTTGATGTTTTCTTGGTCCTTAATCACAGTTTAGCACAGAGAAGGCTACTTGCACCTTTCTTTCAAAGCTGCTCAGGTGAGAAAATGCATGGTAAGACATATCTTTTGCAACAGCTTCCCAGATGAAGAACTATGTCTTCTTCCACATAAGTCAATCCAGACCAAGCAAAGATTCTTGGCTAGACCTCAATTAAAAGAATGAAAATTTTAGGAGAAGGAGAAATGGAGGAGAAAGTATTTCTTCACCCCGAAAGAGTAATTTCAAGTGCAGTCCCTGAAGCTCTCATGTGCTTACAAAGGTTGGCAGAGCTGTGGTATCAGTTTCACTTCTCCCACATTTACCAGTGGACAGATGTTCTCCTTCATTATTTATAAAGCAGCCAAACACCCAAAGCTTCCCATCTCTCTCCCACCGCAGACATGAACTTGTATCCCCGCATGCAATGAGTACACCGTGTGTGCGTGTTGTAAAGCAATAACAGAGTGCTTAGTGTGGACACATAACTGCTTAGCCAGCCCTCTGCGTGGTTGCAGGCAAATTCTGCACAGATATTTCTATAAAGAGACATGGACATATATAATGTGTGTATATATATATACATGCAGGAATTTCCACTCCTCAGTGCAAAAATGCGTGATACTCATAGCTTGCTGAACTAAAATACAGGAAAACTTTTCTTTCGTGAGTCATGTGCTCCTAGAGTGATTACACACATTTTAAAATGGAGCATCTTCTGTATTACTCCTAAGCACTGCTTTTTGGAAATTGTCTTGTAGGAAAAGATGTGTTAACCCACTGGAAAAATGAGAGTTCAGAGTTTACTGAAGATGCAGAGGTTTTTTGCTTTTTTTCTTTTATCATATCTTTGTGTCAAGGTGAACATTTTTAGCAAGTATTTCTTCTTACTATTTTCCTAATTTTACAAAACACTGTGCTAAATATGTTTCATTATTGTAGTGATTTTGAACTCTAATGTGTACAGTCTGTCTTTACTTTCTCTCCTGATGAGTAAATTCTGTACACTTTGCAGACCTTTTACCCTTTGATCATCGACAATGTGAAATGCTGATGCTTTCTGCTTTTTTCCCCCATTTAGGAGGTACATGGTAATTTAGATTGGTAAGGGTCTCAGCATATCTAAGAGAAAGAACATTTGAAATACTCTACTATTTTGAAAAGAAATTATCCCCTGTCAGATTCTGGTTGCAGGTTATAGAAGGCAACTAACTGGGACTAACCATCAATATACCTTAAATTTAGTCATAATTGTGTTTAAAGGAACAGAGTTAAAGTTTAGTAGAAGAAAACACAAATGAAATAACAACTGATTAAAAAATATGGTGCTGAGTGTTTCTCAGTCACTAATTGTACGACTTAAAAGGCAAATGGCTGCACATTTTTTTAGTAGGAAAAAAGCATGGTGGCATTGTGCTGAAAGAGAGCTTCAGAAGAAAGAATCCATAGGAAAACAAGATGTATAGTGAAATAAAGCCAGTAAGTAATCATTTGTTGAGAGTTTTTTTAATAATTCTGCTTACATCCTAGCTTCTACCAAATTCACCTCTTCTTTTTCAATCACTTCGAAGACAGTTTTGTTTAATCTGTTTGCACATGACTGTTTATTGAAGAATGCAACTGAGGTCAGTTCTGTCTGCTCCTCCCTTCCGCAAAGCATATTGCAGAATCTGGCTTCAAAATCTGAAGAGATTTAAGTGTGATTTACATGCAGATTAATTTCAGTTACAGATGGATTTTTTTTTCCAAGCTGAATTGGTTACACCTAGATAATCTGTAGCAAAGATTATAGTATGCCATCATAAATGTTTCTATGTGGGAATTAACTTCACCAGAATAATCACAGGCAAAGAGTCTGCATACTATTGTCATTAAAGCATCACAGCCTTGGTGTTAGACAAAGCCAAAGGCTATAATCGCCTTAGCAAATATAACCATATGTATCTCTATTAAGCTCAAAATATAAATAATAAAACATAGATTTTTTTATACACAGTCATACACATCCTGCCTTCTTAGAGACATATTAGAAGTTCATATTTACAGTGCTTGTAAAAGAACATTTACTCCCTGATGGGATTCAGCTGACTAAAATTCAGCAGTCTGACACTAGGTGTGCAGGCACAGCCCAGTGCCCAGCTCATTTCTCCACTGACCACAACCCATCAGCTTCAGTGGGATGAGTTCTGCCCTTGTGCGCTGGGGAAAGATGCTTTAATGCTCAGGCAAGTAGAGCAGACCCTGGCAATTCAGTGCAAGACACACTTTAAAAAGTCAGTACACAAATCGTGAAGGTCAGGCCATGCAGCCACTTGAAATCGAAAGATGACAAAAAGGACGCACGCAGATGTGCTTTGAAAAGTTTAGGGTGGACATAAGAGATGGGGGTCTGCAGAGGAAAACACCTGAAGATTTGGGCTTTGTAGGAGTAAGTCTCTTATTAGTAGCTCATATATAAAGTGCTAAGCTTTTTACACCTTTGGATGTAGTACAAGCCAAATTCAAATTTCAGTAAAGCTTCTAAACTCCCATCCAAAACCCTTGAAGAACAGGTCTAATTCTCACTTAATGTTAGCATTTAACTGAATAGTACACATTATTGCTGAAGAGAAGTTGTGGCTGCCCCATCCCTGGAGGTGTTCAAGGCCGGGTTGCATGAGGCTTTGAGCAACCTGGTGTAGTGGCAGGTGTCCCTGCCCATGGCAGGGGGGTTGGAACTGGATGATCTTTGAGGTCCATTCCAACCCAAACCGTTCTATGATTCCGTTGTGCACTTGAAGGTTCACCTGATTGTTCTTCTCCAGACAGACAGCTTGGTTTGATAAACGTTACTCTGCAACTCTGACAACCCTGTCTTACAGGTGACACTCTGCGCTCCCCAACTCTCCACAATCTAGCAGGACATCCTGAACCCTCCTAATTTCTAGCAAACTCAGGAGCTTGCAGGACTGAAGTCTAAATCTGCCAGTTCTGCATGTCAAAAAGCATTAAAAAAAAAAACACACCACAATAAAATATACAATTGCATTCAAAACAAACAAACAAAAAAAGAGCATCCAGTTTGTCTCCTTGCATTCATTTGAGTTGACGTGGAATGGAAAATACACCCAAAGTGATACAAAATATACAGCCAGGTGAAACAGGCCAAAAGTTCGCTTAATGTCACAGTTATTAAATGTTTTATCTGTTAACTGGTTCTGACAATAGTAATCCCAAGATACAGCAAAACAGACACCCATCACTGGTTGCACTTTTCTCTTAACCAGTCTGTTGGAAATAAAAGGTTTAAAAAAATGTTCTATCAGCTTCTGGGAACACAAACATTAATACTGAGAGTGTAAGGCTTCTTTTTGCACTTGCCACCACACATTAGTTTGAGCAGTATCCTACACGAGTGAAGGTGGTTTATTCCTTTTCTTCCTTTGCCCCAAAATAAGTACTAACTTATTGAAAATATTAGCTTTAAGGGTTTAGGATTGTTCTGAGTTTTTCTTTTCTTAGATGAACTGATTCATTATTTCTAACTGGCAGATTCTTTGCCATCTTTGCCTAACCATTCTATGATTCAATGATCTTCCCTTGCAAAGTTGTGCAATATGCCAAGGATGATGCTTAATTCACTTTAAATATTTAACGGCTGATAAAATTGTATAAAATAAATAAAACCAAACTTTAAAATTCAAAATCATTTTGCTATAAAATTTACATTACTCTTGCATTATACTTATATTATTCTCTTGTGATATAAAGGAGCTATGAAAATCCCTTATATTTACATATGCACACAGCCTTAATCAGCCTGTTGTTGAGTTCATATTAAAATAAATTTTAAAATGGTGATTTTCCTTCATTTATGACCTTAGCATTCCACTGAAAAGTTAAAATCTAAAAATATTAACACAATTCCAAAGTCATTCCCATCTGAGATTTTATGAAGGAGGAATCAATTTTTTGACCTGATGACAGAATTATGGCAGGATTACTATATTTTCAGGTTTTTATACACTAAACCTTGTTTTCCAGATCAGAAACTGAATTATTCTTAACGGCAGGCAACCACAAACCAGAGATACCACCTAAAATAATTTTCTCAAACACAGTTGAAAGATAAGGGACTGCGTGGGACTTTGCAACAATGAAGACAAAATTCTTGGACTATTTTTTCTGTGCCCCAAGTCACACTGAGATGTCAAGAGACCCAGAGGTAGGTCTTTAGAAGTAATTTAGAAGACAGAGAGGAGGCTCCAGTTGTTTAGGTATCTCCCAGCTCCCAAAACTGTGGGAGAACCTCTTGCATGCAGACTTACAGACTCACTTTTAGGAATTTACAATCACGAAAAAGACAAACACGAAAACGAGAACAACATAAGAGCAGAACAC